CTTTCAGAACTGCAGTAAGTTACGAAATGAGCGACTAAAATTTCACTGCAGCTTTTGCACGGAAACAGCGCAGCAGAAGCGCACGTGTGCTGTGGCTGCCTGTGCCTGCACTGTTCGGCAGCTCTGCTGTCCCAGGAACCTTCTCTGTAGTGAGAGGAGGTCTGTTGGGAATCTTCCTAAGGTTCGGATATCAGTTAAGTTAGAAGGTTTTTGTGATCCACCATGAAACTTAGTACTCTCTTATTCAATGTATTGTCATAGCTAAATGTATTTAAATATAAACCTAAAAGTGAATTAGACTGCATTTCCTGGCTTCTGTTTGTAAGAATAAGTACAAAAGCTGTTAAAATGTTTAACAGCACTTAAATATAAAGTTTAAAAATTGATGGGAAAGGATAGAAAGAAAACTATTTTCTCCAAGAGTGAGGGTGTTTAATGTAAGCATTAGATAGGTGTGTGCCAATCATGGTGTCCAATACCTTCCATCTATAACAGATGTGTTCATAACACTGGGAAGTGCCCATAGCATCGTAGCAAAAATAAAAGCAGAGTTAATGCTTAATTACTTCCAAACTGGAAGTCTGTGTGTTCTCTTGTGTCTTGAACAATGTTTAGACGTTTTCAGTTGAATTATTCTTATTTGACTAAAAGACTTTGTTGCGTTATCTTTTAGTGTTGAGAAGTGTAGATATATGGATTCTAAAATGAAGCCTCTGTGGATAGTATACAACAACAAAATGTTTGGAGGAGATCTTGTAGGGATCATCTTCAAAAACGGTGATGGTAAGCAATGATAAAAATTTTAAATTTTCCCTTTTCCTTCTTCATTCCCACACTCCCATTTCAGCTGTGTTGCTCGGTGTTGCCATCATGTAACATGGTTTCCTCTAGCAGCGGTAAATAAATTAAGCATCTTCTGACTGGGTTTCAAAGTATAAACGTTAGTCATGATGATATAATTATGGTCAATCCCTTAATGAGTATTTTTAGATACCTTTTTCTGAAGGCCTTATAAGCATTTGAAAGTTTGACTACAATGCACGGAGAGACTGAAGGTTTCAACCTTTCGTTACAGATCTCCGACAGGACATGTTGACACTCCAGATTTTGCGTTTGATGGACATACTTTGGAAAGAAGCTGGTCTGGATCTCCGGTAAGGATCTCTTGAGGGCTTGTTTATTTGGATGGAGAGTCCACTTTCTTATTTCTCTTGGTCTTATTTCTTAAGGCCATCTGTGGTTTGTACAGCCATGGCCACAAATGACTCTATTACTGTCCAAATAAATTTTATACTTACGATCTATTTCCTACAAAATTTAAGGGAGGGATGTCATCCTTTAGTAACTGCATAACAGGCTTCATGAAGATGAGGGTCTTGGGAGAAGAGAAGTTGGTTGCTTGTGCTTCATGTCTAGAAGTCCTGAACGATGATGATTGAGAACAGTCACTGTGGATTTACTTTAGCAAGACTTCTCAGTCTGACACCCGTAATGTTCTCGCCTCTCGAGTTAGGAAGTTACCATCTGGACGGGTGGACAACTACATACTCTGCCTGGAGGTTGTTGTCAAGTGGCTGATCACTGGAGTCTGTACAGTAATTTTTATGTTCTTAGCCTTGGCTAATGTTATCTTAATCTTATATTTTCAGTTGTGTTTTTGAATCATGATAAACAGTGGATAGTCTTTCAAGAGTAAGACAAAATTCTATAGTAAAGTTGGCAGAAAAGGTGATATATTTAGAAACACTACTTTTTGGGGAAAGAATATGTTGTAGCTTTCTTAAAACTGCACTTTTCAGTGCTGTTTCAATGAGGTAATTCTAACGCAGTCAATTATGAAGTCAGTGGAGAAAAA